ATTTACAACTGTTTAGAGCAGCTTTTCTGTTGGAACAGCTGATAATACATTGCACAGTTCTAAAGTAATGGAGCTGATGTTTCAAGCTCTCTAGAAAAACTACTTCATCACTTCAGCTACACATCAATGGTGGCAGTAATGGTCTAACCTTGTTTCACTCAAATATTTAAGCATGGATTGAATGCCCTTTCCATGTATCCCCAGTTGTCACCCTTCTTTGTGGCTCTTTGGGCCAGGTTCCCTGGAGCTGGAGGAAGGCATGAGCAGTTGGTGTTGTCCGTGCTTCTACCTTTGTCTGCCTCTTGGAAGCTTTGGAAACCAAGGCTCTTGGGTTGCCTGAGTTGCCTGAGTCCACCAAGCATTTTCTGAGCTCCATTCTTTTTTTTTTTTTTTTTTTTGAGACAGAGTTTTGCTCTTGTTGCCCAGCCTGGAGTGCAACGGCCTGATCTCGGCTCACCACAACCTCTTTCTCTGGGGTTCAAGGGATTCTCCTGCCTCAGCCTCCCGAGTAGCTGGGATTACAGGCATGCACCACCACACTTGGCTAATTTAGTATTTTTAGTAGAGATGAGGTTTCTCCATATTGATCAGGCTGGTCTCGAACTCCTGACCTCAGGTGATCTGCCTACCTCGGCCTCCCAAAGTGCTGGGATTACAGGCATGAGCCACCATTCTTGTAGACCTCTTCTTCCTTTTAATTCTTGCTCTGTTTCCTTCTTGCTGACAGGGTCTCCTGGCCCTTCCTTTACTCTAATTCCACTTATTTTAGCAACTCTGTAGCCTGCTTTCTGGAACAACTACACAAGGGAGTTCCTTAATCTCCCACAGTCCAGTCCCTGGCCTTGGCAATACTGGCTTACCTGGATGCTCCAGGGCCAACCCTGTCACCACATTACCTTGACCTACAGTGAGCCTCCAGGAAGCTAGCATCCTCTGTTGCCAAGTCCCAGCTGAGTTCTGCTTATAAATGAACATTTTTTTTTTTTTTTTGAGACGGAGTCTCCTCTGTTGCCCAGACTGAGTGCAGTGGCACAATCTCAGCCTCACTGCAAGGCTCCGCCTCCCGGGGTTCGCAGCATTTCCTGCCTCAGCCTCCCAAATAGCTGTGGGACTACGGCGCCCGCCACCCGCCCGGGCTAATTTTTTGTATTTTTAGTAGAGACGGGGTTTCACTGTGTTAGGCCAGGATGGTCTCAATCTCCTGACCTCGTGATCCGCCCGCCTCGGCCTCCCAGAGTGCTGGGATTACAGACGTGACCCACCGCGCCCAGCCTAAATGAACATTCTTAAGAAGTTGAGTCTATTTGCTATTCCAGAGACACAGCCTAATTTCCACCTTAGTCTCAGTTTCTACTCAGGATACTGCCACTCTAAAGGAAGGCTGTGGAGCTGAGCTCCCAAAATGACTGTCTTTAGATAATAGAGTGCCTTGTAGACTCCCAGAGCTTGACTCGACCTTAGACATCCTCTAGTCCAGTGGTTCCCAAAGGAGATGCAGAGGATTAGTAGAGCTGAAACATGACAGCGAGAGGAAACCAACAGTGTTTCCGAGCATCTGTAACATTCAGGCAAGGTAGACTAGGAAAATAGTTCCATGCCCAGCTGATCATCAGGGTCACAGGGGAGCTGGGTTGCCAAGTTTCTGCTCAGTGTTCCTTTCCCTTGTCTACTGAGATTCCCTTAAATGTTTTTTTTTTTTTAATTGAGACGGAATCTTCCTCTTGTCACCCAGGCTGGAGTGCCATGGCGTGATCTCGGCTCACTGCAACCTCCGCCTCCCAGGTTCAAGCGATTCTCCTGCCTCAGCCTCCTGAGCAGCTGGAATTACAGGCATCAGCCACCATGCCCAGCTAATTTTTGTACTTTTAGTAGAGATGGGGTTTCGCCATGTTGGCCAGGCTAGCCTCAAACTCCTGACCTCAGGTGATCCTCCTGCCTTGGCCCTCCAAAGAGCTGGGATTACAGGCATGAGTCACCGCACCTGGCCTCTAAAATGTTAACTATTTCTTCAGATTCTTTGTCCACTTGTTCTTCTGAAATTTTCTATCCTCCCTACTAATTTTTTTGGTGGCTTTCTCCTTCCTCTTCACTTACTCTATTTCCTAAAATTCTCTGCTTTTCCACCCACCAATCGAGTCCCACACAAATAGCATAGGATAGCATAGAAATCATCATCACTTTATATTTACGATGTGTCTTCATATTTATTCTCATTCATGCTATCTTCTAAAGAACATACCATCTAGATAAGTTCTCCCTCTCTCCCATGCTCAGTTGGCACACAATGGCATGTCTATGAATGTACACATGTAATAGGATGTTTAATACCAGTCTTCCTGAGGTCTACTGTTTCCACCAAATCCCTAAAAGTAGAGAACAATGTAATAGATGTCACATCCCCCATATACTAGAAGGTGTTGAATCACATGCAAAACACCTCATGAGCTTAAGAAACCAGTGTTGCTACAGTTAGTCCATCACTTGCCATTGTCCCATGGAAGGAGTCATCTGCATGCTTACAGAGTTTTGATGCTGATATGGTTTGGCTGTGTCCCCACCAAATCTCAACTTGAATTGTGTCTCCCAGAATTCCCACGTGTTGTGGGAGGGACCAAAGGGGAGGTAATTAAATCATGGGACCAGTCTTTCCTGTGCTATTCTCATGATAGTGAATAAGTCTCACGAGATATGATGGGTTTATCAGGGGTTTCCACTTTTGCTTCTTCCTCATTTTCTCTTGCTGCCACCGTGTAAGAAGCGCCTTTCACCTCCCGCCATGATTCTGAGGCCTCGCCAGCCATGTGGAATTGTAAGTCCAATTAAACCTTTTTGTTACCAGTTTTGGGTATGTCTTTATCAGCAGGGTGAAAACGGACTAAAACAGTAAATTGGTACCAGTAGAGTGGGACACTGCTGAAAAGATACCCGAAAATGTGGAAGTGACTTTGGAACTGGGTAACAGGCAAAGGTTGAAACAGTTTGGAGGGCTCAGAGGAAGACAGGAAAATGTGGGAAAGTTTGGGAATTTCCTAGAGACTTGCTGAATGGCTTTGCCCAAAATGCTGATAGTGATATGGACAGTAAGTTCCAGGTTTTGGTGGTCTCAGATGGAGTGAGGAACTTGTTGGTAACTGGAGTAAAGGTGACACTTGTTATGTTTTAGCAAAGAGACTGCTAAAGCTAGAGCATTTTGCCCCTGCCCTAGAGATTTGTGGAACTTTGAACTTGAGAAAGATGATTTAGGGTATCTGGCAGAAGAAATTTCTAAGCAGCAAAGCATTCAAGAGGTGACTTGGGTACTGTTAAAGGCATTCAGTTTTGTAAGGGAGCAGAGCATAAAAGTTCGGAAAATTTGCAGCCTGACTACATGATAAAAAAGAAAAACCCATTTTCTGGGGAGAAATTCAAGTGGGCTGCAGAAATTTGTATAAGTAGCAAGTACCCTCATGTTAATCCCCAAGACCATGGGGAAAATGTCTCTAGGCCATGTCAGACCTTCACAGAAGCCCTTCCCATCATAGGCCCAGAGGCCCAGGAGCAAAAAACGGTTTCATGGGCCAGACCAAGGGTGCCTGTGCTGTGTGCAGCCTAGGGACTTGGTCCCCTGTGTCCCAGCTGCTTCAGCTGTGGCTGAAAGGGGCCAACATACAACTTGGGCTGTGGCCTCAGAAGGTGGAAGCCCCGGGCCTTGGCAGCTTCCATGTGGTGTTGAGCCTGTGGGTGCACAGAAGTCAATAATTGAGATTTGGGCCAGGCATGGTGGTTCATGCCTGTAATCCCAGCACTTTGGAAGGCTGAGGTGGGCCCATCACCTGAGGTCAGGAGTTCAAGACCAGCCTGGCAAACATGGCAAAACCCCGTCTCTACTAAAAATATAAAATTAGCTGGGCATGGTGGTGCGCGTCTGTAATCCCAGTGACTCGGGAGGCTGAGGCAGGAGAATCACTTGAACCTGGGTGGCAGAGGTTGCAGTGAGCTGAGATTGCACCACTGCCCACCAGCCTGAGTGACAAGAGTGAAACTCCATCTAAAAAAAATCACAAAAAACAGTTGAGGTTTGGGAATCTAGATTTCAGAAGATGTATGGAAATGCCTGGATGCCCAAGTGAAAGTTTGCAGGGGCAGAGCCCTCATAGAGAACCTTTGCTAGGACAGTGCAGAAGGGAAATGTGGGGTTGGAGCCCCAACACAGAGTCGCTACTGGGGCACCACCTAGTGGAGCTGTGAGAAGAGGGCCACTGTTCTCCAGACCCCAGAATAGTAGATGCACTGACAGCTTGCACAGTGCACCTGGAAAAGCTGCAGACACTCAATGCCAGCCCATGAAAGCAGCTGGGAGGGAGGCTGTACCCTGCAAAGCCAAAGGGGCAAAGCTGCCCAAGACCATGGGAACCCACCTCTTGCCTGGATGTGAAACGTGGAGTCAAAGGAAATCATTTTGGAGCTTTAAAATTTGATTGCCCCACTGGATTTCAGACTTGCATGGGCCCTGTAACCCCTTTGTTTTGGCCAATTTCTCCCATTTGGAATGGCTGTATTTACCCTAGATACCTGTACCCCCATTGTATCTAGGAAGTAACTACCTTACTTTTGATTTTACAGGATCATGGGCAGAAGGGACTTGCCTTGTCTTAGATGAGACTTTGGACTGTGGACTTTTGGGTTAATGCTGAAATGAGTTAAGACTTTGGGGAACTGTTGGGAAGGCATGATTGGTTTTGAAATGTGAGGACATAAGATTTGGGAAGGGCCAAGTGCGGAATGCTATGGTTTGGCTGTGTCACCATCCAAATCTCAACTTGAATTGTATCTCCCAGAATTCCCATGTGCTGTAGGAAGGATCCAGAGGGAGGTAATTAAATCATGGTGGCTGGTCTTTCCTGTGCTATTCTCATGATAGTGAATAAGTCTCACAAGATCTGATGGTTTATCAGGGGTTTCTGCTTTTGCTTCTTCCTCATTTTGTCTTGCCGTCACCATGTAAGAAGTGCCTTTTGCTTCCCGCCATGATTCTGAGGCCTCCCCAGCCATGTGGAACTGTAAGTCCAATTAAACTTCTTTTTGTTATGAGTTTCGGGTATGTCTTTATCAGCAGTGTGAAAACAAACTAATACAGATGCTTTGCTCTCCTCTCAAATCAGCAGGCATTGACTCAGAGAGACTGATATGTCTCTTAGGGAATATTAGGAGCTACTATCTAATACTTGCTTGAAAATATAAAGGAAAAAGGCTTGAAGTAGCAGAGCAAAGAGAGAGAGAGGCAGAGACAGAGACACAGAGAATGGCCCTGGGAGCAATGTGCACTTGCACGTGTACTTGTAGAGCAATGATGTTTCCTGGTGAACCGTATGTGTGATATGCTGGATGGAGATGACCCAGAGTCACCTGCAAAGGGACCTGGCCCACAAACTCTGCCTGGTGGGATGAACTGAACCAGCAGAGGGGTATACCCTTGCTGTGGAGAGCCTCAGTGTTGGTAGCTGACACAACCATTGTGGGGAGTCAGCGCCTGATCTACGACAACACCATTGGGAGGCTCTTGAGGGCCATCTCAGAGAAACCACAGAGATAAAGCTTGAGTGAAGAGTACACTTAGAAACTCTGCAAGGCCACAGGCCAACTGCACAGCAGCCAGAAACTGTACCCTTTCCTAAATCCCTTTCTGCATCTTCATGAGGGCCAGAAACAGCAGCTAGCAAGTAGTTAAGAAGCCAGTGGAGAAAGAAAAGCAGCCATCTGCCCCAGTCCTGTTCGGCAGGCAGTACAGAGTTGAGGGAGCAGCAAAGCTTCAGATGGGATTAAGTATTATCTGGGACTGGGCATATTAACTACGAGAAGAAACTTACTCTCATGACTAACAGGATGAGACAAATCTTAAGACCTGCCCAGGACTTGCCAGGCCCAGGACAAAAACTAGTCTTCAGAGCAGAATCAAAGGGACATGAGGGGAGTTGAGTTCAGTGTAGCAAGGACTTATAATGGCACACAGACAATGATGAGCAGGGGACCAGATAAGGACCTATGAAAACATTCACTGACCTACAATTAAAATACATGGGAAGGATGTGGACTTTCTGTTTTGACTTGGTCATTCTCACGGCAGTCTTTACTATGACCAGAGGTTGGGCTTACAACCTGGAAATGGTGGATGCTTTTTAGCTTCCAGGTACTTGATTGCCGTTAGGTACTCTGCCTCTGATGAAATGGGAGGTAACTTGGTTATGGATTTATAATCCAAACCACTAGGCTTTCTATAGAGTGTTGAATAGCATGCTTTTCTACTCAGTTATATTTTTGCATAAAAATACAAATCTTTAATAAAACCAGATCAGCATAAACTAGTACTAGCAGAATATAAACTATTGTTTTAAATCATGAATTCTCTATTTCTGTAAGGAAATAGGAATATCTAGATATTTTCTTTCTAGTCCAGAGGTTCATGTATACATAAAAAAATGTTAGGACCTTGTTAAAATACAGGCCTAGGCCCTGTCCACAGCGATTCTGGGTTAATAGTCTTGGGACAGGACTGAGGAATCTGCATTTTGATGAGTACTCAAAGTGACTCTAATGTCTTTTGCAATTTAAGAAAGATTGTTTTATTGGGTACAACGTACACTACCCAGGTGATGGGTGCATTAAAGTGTCAGACTTCACCACTATACAATTCATCCACATAACCAAAACCACTTGCACCCCAAAAGCTATTGAAATAAAAAAGATTGTTGTAATTATTAGTGATGATATTACCACTCTTTGTTCAGTCTAACCCTTTGCTTTTACCTTGTACTTAAGTGGGACTAGTTTACCTTGAATTTTTTAGGTTAACATGAGAACATTTTGAGGAGCATTCAGCTTTAGCAACTTTATTAGACATCAAACTTATTAACACTTCTCTCATATAGGAAACTAATAAATTTGTTCTATTTACCTGACTTCAAGTTTATTAGAATACATATTTGCCTATTTTTTTGTGGCTCCTTTTCTGCAGGTGACAGAAATAAATAAAATGACCAGTTAAATTGTAGCTTCACAGTGGTTTCCCTACCAGAACTACCGTACCAATTAATAACAAATAAAACTGAAGTGTATTCACTAAACACTTTCCAAAGTACAGATCACACACATGGGATTAAATACAAGTCTGCCTCTGATATATGTGCCTTAAAAGCTTGGGGTTTAAAAATCTAAGCTATCCCAGTTCATTTAATTGGAATTTAACAAGATTTTTAAACAGATAAGGTAATTTCTTCACACACTCAGAGATCGTCAGAAACAGGTGTGATTAGAATAGTAAAAATCAGGAGGGAGGAAATCTATCTAGTTCAAGGATTTAATCAGAGGCTCCAGTCAATGACCTATAAAGTCCTTTTTTTCCCTAAAATTATGCCATTTGTTTTTCTCTATTAAGTTTCTTCCTGGCTCTTGCTCATCATTCCAGCCTGTTGAGAACAGTTGAAATCTTGGTTTTGTCTTCTCTCATATTAGCTATTCCCCCAACTTCCAATTTGATACACATACGTATGAAGAGGTTCTTTCAAGCTGGTGATAAAAAACCCAGACCAGGACAGATCCGTAACTTTACCACAGTGCAAACAGACCTATTCTACAAGCAACACATACATCCATTGCCCCAACTTGCACCTGAAACCTCAATATACAGCTATAATCACACAGAAAAAGCAGAAAGGTAGCAAATATGTTATTCCCTATAGTTGGTCAGAGACACATAGTAGGTGTGAGTTAGGGTTTATTAGAATACAAATTTGCCTGTTTTTTGTGGCTCCTTTTCTTCAGGTGACAGAAATGTGCCCCTACACTGAGGGTGGGGGCATCAGGATGGGACTGGAAGAAGAGTCTACGAAGGACCTCAGGGCATTCATAATAATCATGAACAAGTACATTGAGTTGACTGTTTAACAGTGGCCACGCTTCCTTCACTATGCTAACACTGTGTATGCATTATCTCATTCATGCCCACAACTCCTTATAGGAGAGAACTAGTGGCTACCGGCATAGGCTTTGGCGCCAAATGGCTTGGATTTGAATCTTGACTCTGGTACTTACTCGTTGAGGCCTTGGGAAAGCTACTCTCTGCTTGAAAAGCCTCATTTGAAAATGACAATAGTAATAGCACTACTTGTGGGCTTGTGCAATTAGGTAGGGACTCTAGCTGCTTTAACAGATGAGCCCTTAAATCTTACTGGCTTAATATAATAAAGGCTGACTGCACGTGTAAAGTTGTCCAAATGAGTGTTCAATGGGCAACCTTCCACATGGGAATTCAGTTCACATTCCTTCCATTTTGTGATTCTGCTAACTACCAGATAGAGGAAGATCGTCTGGAGAAGAGCTGGGTGGATGAGGGGAGGGGTTATGGATCAGACCTAAAGGCAATACACTTTCCAGAATACCCAGGAGCCACTCATGGCAAGGCAGGCTGAAAAACGAAGTCTCTGTGTCTAGGAGGAAAAAGAAATGAATTTGGTCTCTTCCATACTTATTGGGAGATTAAACATTAAATTCCTTGGAACAGTACCTAGCACCCAGTAAGTGCTCAATAAATGATAGTGATTATTACCATTTATGTTGCGCCAGTAACGGCTTTTTTTTTTTTTTTTGATCCAGAGTTTCGCTCTTTTCGCTCTTGTTACCCAGGCTGGAGTGCAATGGGGCTCTCTTGGCTCACGGCAACCTCCGCCTCCCAGGTTCAAGCGATTTTCCTGCCTCAGCCTCCCGAGTAGCTGGGATTACAGGCATGCACCACCACCATGCCCGGCTAATTTTGTATCTTTAGTAGACACAGGGGTTCTTCATATTGGTCAGGCTGGTCTTGAACTCCTGACCTCAGGTGATCTGCTGCCTCGGCCTCCCAAAGTGCTGGGATTACAGGCGTGAGCCACTGCGCCCGGCCAGCTGTATTTCTTATATGTCTTCCTGATGCCTATGACCAGCTGTCTTAACCTTTCACTTTAGAGTTCCCTTGGATTTAGCCTGTTGGACTGGTGATGCCTGCGGGGTTCTCTTCGTAATTATTGGAAACTTCCAGGCATTAAAGCTGGCTCTGTTCTATGGACACCAACCCCGGCCTCTTTTCTGAACCTTAGTAGTCACTGGAACACTAGCAGGATATGAGAGCAGGGACAAAACTGGGAGAGGCGGTGTGGGTCTGGACTGCCCCCTGAAGATCCCTGCAGCCTTGGCATGGCAGAGCCCCTCCTGCATTCCCAACATGCGGGAGGCTTTCGCAAAATCCTGTGCATGAAAGTCCATGATTTAAAGTTTGTCTCTGTGCCATCATTTAATCAGTAATGGGGCAAGCGACTGAATCTATATCCCCCAACCCCCAAAACTTCTTAACCTTGGCTTGCTTAAATTTTTTCCAGTTGGGGGGGTTCCGGGCCTTTTGATTTTGCCGTTTTGGTTTTTTTTTTTTCTGTCTTGGGTAAAATATTTGCCATGCATGGAACAAATTGAACTGTGACTTTTGTTTTCCAGTCACTATAGTAGATATAAATCAACTTTGAAAAATTGATTATGCTTTTGTTAGCATAAGAAAATGGTTAGCATCTGCACTTGAATTCCAACTCCGTATCTTACTAGCCTTGGGACTATGGGCAAGTTATTTAATTACTCCAAATCTCAGTATCTTTATCTGGTAAATGAGGATAGTAACAGATCATAGAGTGGTGTTGCACAGTACCTGGAAATAGTAAACTCCAGAAAGGGTAGTTTTTATTTTTGTTATAATGATGACCAAAGACACACACAACCCCACACTGCTTCCCTGTAATGGTGAGGGACAGATACATGTGTTCCTCATGGCTCCCTCAAGGCCCTGAATACTCTAACTGGGGTTTTGAAGAATGTTTTGAAAGAGTTGCCTGTGGCATTCTAACTCTGCATTTTTCCCTTCATAGAAGCATCTATCTTCCCTCATTATCTTCTGTACACATCTAAGAGGGAGATACCCCAAACAGCCAAAGTCATTATCTAAGCAGTGTGCTAGTACATAGAGGCTGAGGACTTCAAAAGGTAAGTGTTTGTGGGGTGAGCAATGCAAATGTGAGGGAAGTTCCCAAAGCAAAGCCTGGTTGAGGCTAGGGCTAGAGAATCCTAAGTGCAACCCACGTCTCATTCAGTCTCCTTGTTAATCTTCCTGACGGTTCTGTTTGTTGAGAAAGGGCTCCCCACTTAGCCTCAAAAGTCTTTCTGAGGATCTGGACAGTCATGGGCTCTTATCCTAGAGAAATGCATTCATGGCCACTCACATAAAGGTTTGCAATCAATTTTAAGACTCCCATGGGGCCCATCTGTGGATCTCAGATCTAGACACACTCTTCACATGGCCCATTTGTTTCTGTATGTGGGCAAAAACAATGCCCTGAAAGCTTAGCAGAGGATGCACATGGTGAACCCTTCCAAGAGATAATGAGACTACCTTAAGGCAGCAGCACAGAGGAGAGAAAATAGAGGACTCACTTCAGTGCATAAAGACTCAGGCACTCCATATATTAGGAGGTGGTGAGGTAGAGGGAGGTTCCAAGGATGACTCCAAGTTTCTCAGTTTAGTTGACAGACTGGTGCCATTCACCGAGACAGGGAATGCAGGGAGGGAAGGAGGACAATGATTTGACACACCTGTGGGATATCTCATGGTGATATCCCAGAGGTGGTTAAATCTGTATTGACAGTTCAGGAGAGAGCTACACATAGAGATTTGGAGGTCAACGTTTTATCAGAGGTCATTGAATTTATGGGACGAGCTGAGAAATCGCAGGAAGATTGTATGTCATGAGAGGAGGCCACGGTCAGAGTCCTAAGAAACACTGACAGAGAAGGCCATATTTCCCAAACCTCAGGCATTTGCAAACCCCAGGCTCATGTCACCTGTGCTATGATTTTCTTGGGATTTTTTTCTCCATTCAGTTCTCTGTTTTGTAAGTTTTGAAAGGGAACATGTTATCCCTGTAATAAATGAGAAAGTAGTATCAATTGTAATAGATAGTAATCTTAAAATATCTACCAATGGAAATAGAAAACCAAAACCTCTTTTTCTGTATTCCTGCTGGTGACTATCGGCCAGAGAAGGCTCTATGTCTGAGACTGCTCTCTCTCTGTTTTTAGAAAAGGAAGATGAGCAAGTGTTAGAGAGGTGTTAAAGACATACTAATATGAAACTGAGATTTTCTCTTTGTTTAAATCAGAAGAATTAGAAGAGAATTTAAACAGCATCAACGTTCTCACTATAAAACTTGTGTTTTATTAGTGTTGAAGGCTCAGATATAGAAAGTACAATTTCACACAGCATACGCAGCTCTAGTTGAGACCTTGTACCATCTAAGATGATCTCTTCTGCCACCACAGTATGAATCTCTCACTTGGAAAAACCAGGAGAGATGGAGTCATAGTATCCGGGAGTGGAGAGGTCCAAGAGGGAGTGAGTGGTCAGTGTCTGAGGCTGCAGAGAGGCTAGGCAAAGTCAGGACTGAAAAGCAACCCCTGGATTTGGCAACCAAGGATCATTGGTGCCTTTGGCAGAGTGAATTTAATGGCATGGTGAGGGGTGAAAGGTAGAATGTAGCAGGTTGAAGAGTGAATGGGAGATGACAGTGGGAAAAATGAGCATGAGGAGCTTAGCTGTGAAGGAGAGAGATAAGGCATTCAAAGAGATGGTGTTTTGCTTATTTTTGTAAAACATGGGAGATATTCCAGCATGCTTTTAAGTATTAGGGAAGGTAGTGGATGCACAGCTGTAAGTACTGGAAAGGGGATAACAGATGAAGCAAAGTCTCAGTTTGGGGGAAGATGGGAAGGGTTCAGATCAAGAGCACGGGTGGACAGACCAACTCAGAATAGAAAATGGGTCATCTTCTCCTAGCTTTGAAGGTACAAGTTGAGGACACATGCAAGCCCAGGTGATTGCTTGAGTATAGGAGTGGAAAGTGCAAGGAGTTTACATCTGGAGCCTAGTTTTCCTCTGCTAAGTAGCAGGTGAGATTATATCTGGGGGCAGAGAGAGAGAGAGAGCATGAGAGACTGATGATAAGGAATTGGCTCACGTAATTGTGGAGGCTGAGACAAGTCCAAACACCTGCAGGGTAACCTGGCAGGCTGGAGACCCATAGAAGGGTTGATGTTGCAACTTGAGTCCAAAGGCAGTCTAAGGCAGAATTCCCTTCTCCTTCTGGGGACTTCACTCACTTTTCAAGTAAGGATTTCTTCAACTGATTAAATGAGGCCCACCCATATTCAGAGGGTAATTTGTTTTACTCAGCGTCTACTGATTTAAATATTAATCTCATCTTTTAAAAAGTATTTTTACAGCAACATTCAGACCAGTGTTTGACCAAATATCTGGGCACTATGACTTAGCCAAGTTGACATGTAAAATTAGACCATCACAGAGTATTAATCATCCCATTTATATCAATAGTGAAAATATGAGATCATGTAGATAAGGAGAAGACTATAAAATGTGGAGAAAATGTGGATTCTAGGAGGTTCTGGCTGGCAGTAGGTGCTCTGTTGACCAGATGTTCACTCTCCTTTTTTTTTTCTCCGAATAAATTTAAGATTTTACCTGATTCTTGGCCACAGGGTTTCAAGGGAGCCAGAGTTAATGAAGACAGCATGGAAGGCCACAGCTGAGACCTTCCTGTGGGAGTCCACCTCACCTACAAGAAGAGCTACCATTTTAACACAGGTGGATAAACCCCATGAAAGTGAACCTCCTAAATGCAAATTCTGATCTTGAAGCCCCAGTTGGCAAATCTACTGGAGACCCTCCCTAGCAACAAGATGTAGATACTTTAGAGATAACAAACTATACAAGTTGTCTTCCGTTCTTTCTCCTTCCTCTATTTTCAATACTGATAAAATACGTATACATTTATCTTGTTGAGCTCAGTAGGATTATTTAGCTTTATTTTCATGGCTGCCTTTTCTTAATGTAATAGAATTTCCAATCGAGCTTATTACTTCCTCCTGAGGCCCTCTTACATCCATCCTGTCCTTGGCAAAGATCTTTGGAAACTAGCCTGGGACATACCTAGTGGTAGGCCACCTGCTCTGGGTTGAGGGTGGATCTATTCTAGTCAGAGGCTTTGTGATCTGGACAAAGGAATTGAGTCTGTGGCTGTCAAATTGTCAGGCAATACTAAATTTGGCTGGCCAGCTGAATTCTAGCAGAAAATCATGCAAAATAAGGTTTAGCAAATGGGGAAAAACGGCCCACAGGAAAAACAATAGGATGAAATTCTGTAGGACTACACGGCCATAGAATTCTAACTTGAGGGCTGCAACCAGCTATGTGACCTTGTAGTACAAGGACCAGTCTTCAGATACAAAATAGTTTGGAGTTAAAGGGATCTTTGAGAAGGAGCCATTATCCACCCCCTCCTCCCAATTTTATATGCCCTAAGAAAAAGGTTTCTTTCAACTTAGAAAGGTATGATTCTTGAAGTGCACTTCCTCCGAGTTTTCCTGAGCCGCTCAATCAAAATGACTCACACCTGCCCATCCATTCCCATTGGTTCATGCTCCTACCCTGCAGTACCGGCTTCATTATGCCTCACCTTGTACACCTGTCTGATTCCTCTTCTAGATTATCAGCGCCTTGACAATAGGATCATATCTTGTGTATCCCTGAATTTCCAGAGACAATGATAGTGCCTGCCACATAATTGTTGGTCAATAAATTTTGGTTCAATAATAACAAGAAACTCCCATTTAAAAAATGTGTTATGGTTATTCTTTCTCAATCCGGATGCTCTCCTCTATACACAGTTTTATTCAGTAACTCTCTTAAAATTGTAAAGGTGAGAAATTGAACACAGTTCCCCAGGTCATTGAGCAGCACGAGATACAGGGAGAAAAAAAAAGCTTTGTGCCTGAATACTTTACTTCTGGTTGGAGAAAATAAACACTGCACTGGATTATTCTTAAAGATACATCACATTACGTTTGTGATCAACTGAAATGCTACGATATTTGCATGTGGATTTCTGCAAAGCTGCTTTTCTCCCATTCTTCATGTGTGTGATTGATCTTTAACTCAAATAGTAGGACTATATATTTATTTGTTTTAACTCAAGGTAAAGTCCAACAAAAATCACGTTAAATTTGATGCTGTCAGTGAAGACATTAGCAATCCTTCCTGGCTTAAGGTCACTGGCACATTTGATACACATATCTTTTGTGAGTTTTGTTGTTGTTTTTGTTGTTGTTGTTGTTGTTGTTTTGAGACAGGGTCTCACTCTGTCACCTAAGCTAGAGTGCAGTGACTTGAAAATGGCTCACTGAAGCCTTGACCTCCCAGGCTTAAGCAATCCTCCCACCTCAGCCTCCTGAGTAGCTGGGACTACAGGCATGCACCACAATGTCTGGCTGATTTTTTTTTTTTTTTTTCCTGTAGAGATGTGGTCTATCCTATGGTGCCCAGACTGGTCTTAACTCCTGGGCTTAAGCAATCCGCCCACCTTGGCCTCCCAAAGTGCTGAGATTACAGGCATGAGCCACCGCACTCCGCCCTCTTTTCTGTTTTTATCCCACTTTTTGACAATGTTGGAAGGATTCAGACTAGCTCTAATAAAAGTCACCCCCTTCCACGTTGGATAATCAACCAACAGCTAGAAATGCACACTGAAATACTACCAGACATCCCTTATTTTACCATCTTATCCACAAAGATCTTACAGATGACATTTTAAAAACATTTCCTAAAGCACAGAAATACTTTTAAGCACAGTAGCCCCTGAAGCTTGCCAGCCAAATAATCATTAAAACATAAATGAAACAAGGCAAGTATGGTGCATGCGTATGGTGGCCGTGGTACCAGTGGCATTCTTTTTTAAATTCTAGTCTCCTCCCACCACCCTCTGCTTTTTAAGTAAGTCTAATTTAGCATATGCCTTGGCATTGATATTAGGCTGACTTTCCATGACTGGCATCCCATCCGATAGCTATCTCCAATCTTATTTATCTCTTTCATGATTCCTCAAAAGTTAATAACTGACTTTGAGACTACACTACAAGTTCTTTAAACATCCACAGATAAGGTTATTTAAACTTGAAAATAAACTTTTTAAGGCTTAATAAGGGTAGGAGAGCGCTCCTGGATTCCTCACTTAAGTGGCAAGGGTCTGCTGTCAGAGATTGATTACTACTCTTCTTCTGATTTTTACCCAGTGCTTCGGGATGAGGCAATGGAACAGGCTTTGTCACCCTAAACATCTTTAACTATCAGACACAGCCACCTGATGAGAAGCTGCTTATCTTCATCTCAGGAAGCTTTAAACCTTTTCCCTGGTTGACTTGAAGATTCTGTACATCTTGGTATTCTTCCGCTTTTCTGAGGCTGAACATATTAAGGCCGTGAATGATTCCCATGGTATAAAGAGGCCAAGCTAGTTGTCACAAGATGCCAGGGACTTAGAAGAAGGAGACCTTCCAGGTCAAACATGCCAGAATTAGAGGTGAAGGTCACAGGGCAGACTCACTCCTTCCCTGATCATCACTCAAGCTGCTATCCTGAGAAGATGGTGCCAAACCAGGAGGCAACTGGAAAATATCCTGACGGGGGAAGGAGTTTTCCTCTTACTCCTATAGTCCTTGTTCAGAATGTAAGCCTTGGAATTGGTAGAAGATATTCATGTTCTTGTTTCCATGAGGCGTCAAACATAATGAGATCAATAAAATATCCTAAGATTTAGAAAACCGGGTCAGGCTTTGTCTCTTCCATCTGACTCTGAAACTCCAAAAATCCATAAGCTTTCCAAAAGGGGACTCATTGCAGGGTGGGGTATTAATGCTTGAGTCTTTAAAAGTTAGCTTAGAGATAAAGTAGTGAAATGACCTCCTTTCACAAGTAAGAAAACTGAAGCCCAAGGAGGCTTGATGACTTGTCCAAGGTCACATGGTTATGAAGAAAACGGAGCTTGCCCTTGAACCCAGGGTTTTGCAGCTTCAGGCTCCATTCTTCTTAAGGGGTTCTTGCTGCTTTTGTCCATGAGTTGTAGTTGCTCTGTCAGCCTTTATTTCTGCTCCTTCCAGTTTGAAGATGTTTTTTATTTCTAGACAATAGTGAAAGAGGAGGATTTGAATAACTCTGGCTTCTGCTAATATCATGCCGCATTTTCTAAGAGTGGAAATATAGAAAGTGGTAAATTTAGAGACAGAGAAGCCAGTCACGGAAAATCAGGGTTGAGGAGGAGAGATTTGGCACAGGTGTAACACAAAGAGACGAGAGAGGTCACGCTTGACCACAGACGGAGAGATGCAGCAGTGGACTGCTATTGCTGAAAAGCCAAAATAATACCAGGCTGTATTTATAGAAGGATGACATGCAAAGCCCACGAAGCAATCACTAGGCTACAGTCTATATTAGATCTCTATTCAATATGATGCTCAGTTTGTCACACTTTGAAAAGAGAGAGCCCAAAGAGGGTAACAAAGTAACAGAAAATCACAACTTAAAGTTAAGGAATTTGGGTTGCTAAAGGCAACCATTTTCTTGGATTCCATCCATTGTCTGATTGCTTCAACAGGCAGGAGGAAAGAGAGGAGAAAAGGGAAGGAGAGTTGTCTCAGCCAGAAATTTCTCTCCAACCTTCTGGCCTCTCAGCACAGAATTTTAGAAGCATGTTCTGCCCACTCACCTTCCGGTCAAGGTTAAGATCCCCTGCTTGATCTCTCTGAAAACTTGCAGCCTCTCATAATCAGATCTTAGGGATGGCTTCTCTACCTGCGCAGGGCTCTTACTGTATAAGTCACCACTTCCACTGCTGGCTCCAGGGACTTCAAGAGCGAAACTGGTTGAGCAGCCCCAGGCTCATGCCTGCAGCCCCACACTGACTACAGCAATCTCGTAGCCTCTATCTGATTTTTGAACTTGTTTTCAGCCTGTATGTGAAAGATTTTCTCCCTGTCTTCACCAAATCTATGTGGGAGTCTGAACCACTACCACCTTCCCCCCATGCTGAGATGCTTTCTTTATGTATCAGCACACTGAATACAATGGGGAAATATATAGGTCAAACACAGAGACTCAACATTGACTTCCAGAAGTAAAAAACTAGGATTCTTTTGATTTTAGACAATTTTTTTGCAGTATTTCTGTATTTTGGAGAAAGGTAGTGATGATTTTAAGACAATTCCTCTGTCATGTCTTCTTTTCCCTTCTACAGAGGTTTTAAGCTTCTTTATCTCCCCTGAAGAAAGCAAAGGAAAGAAAGCTGAAAGAAAGACATGCCAAGGAGAAAGAGCCTTAGACGGATCACATACCAGGTTCTCACAGGCCACTGACAGCAAGGGGAAAAGTTCGAGAGCTAGCTTTCTCCATCTTGCCCCAGGAGAAATTCCTGGGAAAAATACAGGGACACTGTGTCCCAACTATGAGGAGAAAACTTCAAGAGGCCACGTCTCCAGTGACTGATACTGGGGACCAGGTCCTCACAGGAGCATGGGCTTAGCTTGCTCCATCTGGCCCCAGAGCTTAGGAGCTCTTTTTGAGAGAGCTCTGAGGCCCACAGGTCCAAGGAAGTGCTGGGCACTGCAGAGAATGGCCGAGTTCCCAAGTTCATGCCACCAGAATTGCAAAAGATCAAGTACGTAAACATGAAGAGTTTGTGAATGGTTAGGAACACAGGCTTTGTGGCCAGACACACCTGGATTGAATATTGGCTCCATCAATTTTCTTCCCCTAGTCCAGGGCGACTCTCAACTCTGTCCAAGGACAAACTCACATACCTTCTGGAAACTGCTAGTCTCCTCTAAGATCAAACTTACATGTCTGGTTAATGGTTTATCTTGTACATCTTTCTATAACCAACACACAGAACTTGACCTTGATTGTTTTAATGACTATATAGTATTCCACTATATGACCAGATTTATGTTCGCCATTTTCCAAGAATTAATGCTAAGTTGTTAATGATGTTTGCTATAGCAAACAATGCTGCAATGAATATATTTGCGTAAGTATCTGTATACAAATATAACAAAATTTCCAGAAAGAGAATTTCTGCAAGTGCCTTTCAAATCTTGATATTGTCAAGTTGTCCTCTAAAGCACCTCCACCAATTTACCACCCACTAATGGTGCCCAAGAAGGCTTCTCGTTGATAAGGCACTAAGAAGGAAGAACGAAAGTCATATTGAGGGAACTAAAAATGTCTTTTGCTATTCTTTTATTTTTTGAGATGGAGTCTCGCTCTGCCGCCCAGGCTGGAGCGCAGTGGCCGGATTTCAGCTCACTGCAAGCTCCGCCTCCCGGGTTCATGCCATTCTCCCGCCTCAGCCTCCCGAGTAGCTGGGACTACAGGCGCCCGCCACCTCGCCCGGCTAGTTTTTGTATTTTTTATAGAGACGGGGTTTCACCGGGTTAGCCAGGATGGTCTCGATTTCCTGACCTTGTGATCCGCCCGTCTCGGCCTCCCAAAGTGCTGGGATTATAGGCTTGAGCCACTGCGCCCGGCCGTCCTTTGCTATTCTTTAACGCACCAGCAAGGCATTGTTGGTGCTATTTTAGGGGTCCTTGGGTGCCGACTCCACTGAAGATGAGAGCACAGTTGTGCTTTCCTCAGAGGGGACATCTGTCAGAATCTGGGCTTATTTTTGGCAACCTAGTGACATGCTCCCTGCATTTCTAGTGGACTTTTGGCTTCCCTCAGCAATGACCCATTTGTGGCTGAATATTTAGCTGGTCTCTTAATCCCCATGTCTGCTATGAAATCTATTTTGGGATTTGACATGTTGGTCCCCTGTAACAACGGTGAGAATGCAAATCCCAAAATCAGAATCTTATAGTCTTTGTTATTTGGAAAGATGTATGAGGAAAACATGGTTTTTATTTTTATTATTTAATAAACTATAATTATGGGAACTTACAAACATATATAAAAGTATAGAAAATCATGTGATGGTGCTCCCACCACCCGGCTTCAATAATTATCAACCTATCACCTATCTTGCTTTCCTGTAGCTCGACCAATTCCTCACCTCCTGTATTATCGTGAAGCAAATCCCAGACATTACTTAACCCACAACTATCTCAGTGTCTACATTTAAAATATAAGGTCTCTTTAAAAAGATATACTCATACTATCATTAACACTCCTAAAATGATTAACAATAATTTTTTGTTTGTTTGTCTTAAAGACGAGGTTTTACTACATTGCCCAGGCTGGGCTCCAACTCCTGAGCTCAAGTGAGCCTCCCACCTTGGCCTCTCAGAGTGCTAGGATGACAGGGATGAACCACTGTGCTGGGCTCAGCAATGATTTTTAATATACTCAGTGCAGTTGGTGTTCAAATTTCCAATTGCCTCATAACAATTTTAATATGATTTTTAAAATGTTATCAAAGCAAATGTTCAGAGTTGGGAGAACTGAGTTCAAGTCTCAGATTTGTCTCTTTCTCCTTGGGTGACTGTAGTTGACTCCTCTTTCATTGCCTCTTTTTCTTAGAATGTGAGGGCTAAAAAGGACATATAAATCTAAAAATTTTCAGATAGTGTTGAGGATGAGAAGAAAGGAATAGGAAAAGGCCTGTTGCAATAACTGAAATCAGAGTCAACTTTTATATAACTTGTAGGTAATAGTTATAAAGTCATTGTGTCCACCAAATTCAATAAAAGTTACAAAATCTGTCTACTCTTATCTCTATAAAAGAGAAATGGTAGAGTCAGGGGATCCTTATCTTCTCCTCTTGGTAGATAAGTAGTTTTCAAAATGAAGTAGCGATAGAAGCTGCTATACCAGGTTCAGGCACATAATCTTAATATAGTATTTGTTTAAATCTCACAGATACTCCTTTAAAATAATCGTGTTAGTTAGAAAACTGGGAAACGGGGAGGGGAGAAAGGAAGGAAGAAAGGACTAAGATTTGCCAGTGATTCTGGAAGTGAAGCAAGGCCATTGGTGGCTCTAATGTCACATGAGATAATGGATGCATACATATGTTATCAGGAGCCATAAAACTTTTATGAGAGAAATGAGGCTCACCAGATGGTTCTAAATCACACCCAGTATTTTCCCTACTGAATTTGTATTGGCAATAGTTGTATTTCTGGAGAAAAATGTATTTTGTATCAAAATCTAGAAGACCAGGTGAAGGAAGGTGAAATAGCTAAATGAAGATATGCATTGACAGGAAAGCAAAATATTACTAAAAACTCTTGGAAGATAGAAAAAAGAGACCATTACCCATCCATTTTCCTTGCTTCATGTTCATGTCAGGGCAGCGGAAGGTGATGGAGCTGGTGGTGTAACAAGATGGAGGAGAAAATGAACAAAAAAATTACCTGCAGTTCTCCTTGTGGTTTGGTGAACACAGAATTGAGAAGATCTTCCCAGACTGCAGCCGCAGGTGGGCTCCAGCTGCTAGGGATGCCACGTGTCTCTATTTTCTCCATGAGCTGAATGCTAAAAGCATCCAGCTTTAGCTTTAGTTTTCTACTAAAGTAGAAAAACAGTTGGGGAAGGCTGAGGGGTGGGTACTTTCTCTCTCTTGTGAAGTCAACAGTCCTCAAGGTTTGAACAGGCTGCATTCTGCTATTCCAAAGTCTGTAGGGTTTCGTCTCTGTCCTTCATCTGAACACAAGTGCCCACACATCTAGACTCGATATCTTCTCACTTAAACACAGCAAGGGCTCTAACAACCACCTGTCTCTGTTCAAAGATCACAGGCCAAGAGTCTGCTTCTTCCTGAGGGTGGTGAGGAGGGGAGAGACTGCAGAGGGGAGCTGGGGTTGGGGAGACATCACACAGACAACCTGGAGAGGACTCTGGATTCTGGGGAGACATGCACCACCAGTGTCCTCGGCTGCCCATGGCTGGTCAAGAGCAAGACGGAGATTCACAATTACCTTGGCAACCAGGTAACAGGCAGAACCGTTACTTGGCAATTTCCATTAAATTTCCCTCTTTTCCCTACAAGCCCTTTTTCCCTAACTGCAACACACACACATCAACATTTTTCCCTCTTTAATAATCCTCTAAGATCACCAGACTCTTTGCTGTAAGGAAATGAGGCAAAATGAGGAAAACAGTGAGATCTAAGATGTGGGGAAGGAAAATACATTTTTGAAGCACAGGTGGGAGGTGGTGGTTTGAATGGCCACCTCTCACTGGGGACAAGAGAGAGAGGAGTCAAGAATGGGGTTTGTGAGAACAGGAAAAGGGGATGGCTAGCAGCACAGCTATAATATCAGGCAGTTGATTAGCTCATTGTTTCTAGAAACCACAAAAATGGAACAAAGGTGGAAGGCATAAGCAGAATTTATTCCCATTTTCATTTCTGTCCCTCTGACCTCTTTTCAGAGGTCCTGTCATGGGAACTCGCCTTTAGCAGTCCGTTTCTGTGTGGCTCCTAGTAGGTGCTGACCTGTTTCTTTTTGTTGATTGATTCCACACACATTTCGCAGGCCAGTATGTACCAGGCATTGTGCTAGGCTCGGGGGCTGCAGAGTTAAAGACAGAGTCCCTGCCCTCATGGAACGTGAGTTTTTAGTGGGAAAGGCTGACAAAAACAAGCGAATAGACAAACAACATAATTGCAGGTTAGAATAAAAGTGCATTGCAAAGCCAGGGTCTGAGATTAAGAGAGAAGGACTTACTTTTGTTTGGGGGATCAGGGAAGGCCTTTGAAGAAGTGTCATTTAAGCCAAGATCTGAAGCATGATTAGGAGCTAGGGAAAGATGGGGAGACTGTGCTCAGCAGAGGGACCACTTGGGGAGACTGAGAGGCCAGGACATGCTGGCATTGCTAGAGGAACGGGAATTAGACCAAGCTGGTGTCAGATTCGTGCGTAAGGTGAGGTAGGCAGATGAGGATCAATAATAGGGGAGGTCAGAAGAAATAGGGCCTTGAAGGCCTCAGAAGGCATGTAGATTTTCTTCTTAGTATGACAGCAGGCCGTTGAATGGTTTTCAGCCTAGGAGTGCTGTGATCAGATGTGTATTTCATTTCAATATGGCTACTGGGCACAGACTGAATGGGAGGGTGTGGAGAGGGAGGAGGCAGATTGCTGATGACTGTGGTGGTCCTGGAGAGAGATGAGGAGGCAGGTGAAAGGGTACACGATGGCATTCCTGCAACAGAGCCCAGGCTCCAAGTGCTTTTATGTTTTGCTTGTTTATTCTCTTTAGTAGGAAAAAACCGACATACAATAAAACAAAGTAGTTAAGATGCAAGCTCTACAGTCGAAATCTGACACGACCCCACTTCCTATGTGCCCTTGGCAAGTTACCTAAACTCATGTCTGAAAAATGAGACTTGGTATAGAGATTGAGAGAGACAATTAATGTAAAGTGATTAGTATGATGCTGGGTATATAGTAAATGCTCAAAAAATAGGAAGCTTATGTTATCAGTCACTGACAACTTCAAACTGCCCAATTTCAGGTCAAGTAAAATTATAATAGGGTGAACACAGGGAGTGTTTTCCCTCAATAAAAATACATCTTTAACAAAATAAGAAGTTTGGATTTATGAAAAGAATCTAGAGAGAGCAAATAAAAGGTAAATTTAAAGATGTTTAAGGATTTTGAAAATATAAACTACATGGTGGCAAGGAAAATACATTATAATCATTAAGAATATGAGTTTTGGCTGGGCACAGTGACTCACACCTGTAATCCCAGCACTTTGGGAGGCCAAAGTAGGAGGATCACTTGAGCCCAGGAGTTTGAGTCCAGCCTGGAAAACCTAGGGAGACTCCATCTCTACTAAAAATTGAAAGCAAAAATGATTCAGGCATGGTAGCATGCTCCTGTAGTCCCAGCTACTCAGGAGGCTGAGGTGGGAGGATTGCTTGAGTTGGGGAGGTCAAGGCCACAGTGAGCCATAATTGTACCACTGCACTCCAGCCTGGGCAACAGATCAAGACCCAGCCTAAAAAAAAAAAAAAAAAAAAAGAGTGTGAGTTTTGGAGCCAGACGGATCTGGATTTTGAATCCTAGGTTTGTTCCATACCAGCTGTGTGAACCTCAGGAATGTCACCTAACTTCTGTGAGCACAGCTTCTCGTCTGCAAAGATAGCTAATAGCCATGCTTTCTGCATAGAGACTCAGTGAGGAGTGAGTTACAAAACGCATTAAAGGGCTTTCTTGGCATGAGGCCTAGGACCTAGCAAGGGTTCGGTAAACGGGGAGCTGCTGAAGAAAGGGAGAAACGTTATGCTGATGCGTTAGGGGTTAGGAGACCCA